ACGCTGTATTGTTTTTGCGAGCGCGTTTTTCGATGGACTACCTGGGTAGTGTCACTAAAAAGAAGCTCAGTCGTGACCTGATTGAGCTCCTTTTCCCTGCGCCACTGTATCGATCGGTGTACAGCCAATGTCCGGGTCAAGATGTGCTCCAGCGTGTGAAAAGGATGTGTGTTCCACCAGGGGTAAAGTCCTTTTTCTTTAAATTGCACAGCGAGACATTGCCAGTCAAGCCATGGCTAAGAGATAAGGGAATCTTTGTTCCGTGGTCGGTGGATTGTCTCCTGTGTAAGACACCAGAAACCATCGAACACGTTTTTATTTATTGTTGGGATGCTGTGTTTTTTTGGGACATTCTTCAAAGGACCCTGAAAAAAGATTTTATGTTGTCCCCGGAGACCATTAGGTATTTACCTGTTGAAGAAAGTGACACTGTGCCCTACGACCTTTTTATGATACTCGGCCTGTTTAGTATTTGGAAAACAAGGATGGAATTTCGTCATGCTGACCCAAAAATTAAGTCTGTACAGAAGCATTTTATCGATATTGTAAACGAGGTCCAAACGGTGTATTGCAGAACACCAGAAACTACGCCTGAGTGGGCACACTTGTTCAGTAAAATTAAGAACATGAGAGAACTTTAGTTCGCCCACAAGTCGCTGGGCGTGAGCTCCTTGTAATGACATAGCATTCTGTGCTGCAATGTTGAATTCAATAAAGAAAAAAAAAAAAAAAAAAAAAAGATTGGCAAAATCGCGGTGTTCCCCCCGCAAATGTCGCTTCTCTGCACTGCACCAGTACCAGAGGAGAAGCACACTCAACGGAGCTAACTAACCTGCCCAAATATAGCTCGAAAGAAAGAGATCTGGCACGCGCACTTACTGTCACTTTTCGCTGCAAATGTCGATACGAATAGTGGGCTATTCGAACGCATGATTATTAATTTCGGTATTAAAATACATATTCATTATTCAACATCTCGCTTTCCTAGCCAGTTTTCCAGTGAGCTAAGAAATGCCACTGAAAAGAAAGGACTTCGTTCACAGGGAGTTAAAGAAAACCAGCCTCCCAAAGTGGGGAAGTAGAATTAAAGAGTTACAGGAAGCATTGTAGAAAAATCGTAAATCGCCACCGCCCAGGTGCATTGTTGCTCAGTAGAATCAGATCTTCTGAAAAATCTATGGAAATTCTGAAGTGCACTAAATCACGTTCTGGAAGGCATATCAAATCAAAAATTGTCCTCGATAATCATAAAAGTGATTCGAAGTGCGTGATTGAGAATTATTTGCTGACCATTTTAGATCAGCCTGCAAGGATAGTACGCAGTGTTCCTCCGCTACGCTGCCTCACTTATAACTTTTAAGGGTTAGGTGACTTTCTAAGTTGCATTAACGTCGATGAAGAGTGTGTACCCCTCTGCGTTAACAAAATGAGAGACACATTATCAGTTGGGACAGACGCCATTCCCCCTACGATCCTCAAAACTTATCACGAATACTCAAGCCGATACTGTGCTCAGTATTTAGTAACTCTTTAAGGTCAGGAAAATTTTACGAAATGCGGAAAGTCGCCGCTGACGTTGCGGTCTTTAAGTCGGGATAAAAAGGTGATGTTTGTAACTATAGACCGATTTCTCTTCTTTCTTCATTTCCTGAGCTCTTTGAAATGGTGCTCCATCAATTGCTGTCTTTCGAATTTAGAAACTTAACAATTCCCAATCAGCCTGGCTTTATGAGCGGCAGATCAACAACTACAAATGTTGTTATTTTTGTCTACCGCATCCTGTGCGGCATGTAAGAGAGGTCAGTCAAATGTTGTCTACTTTTACTTAAGCAGGGCCATTGACGTAGTGAATCACTCGATTCTATTATCCAAGCTTTCCACCTACAGGGTATGTGGTTTAGTACACGACTGGTTGAAAAGCTAGTTGTCAAATACAAAAACGTACGTCCGCGTCAACAAATAGAGAAGCGTACGTTCGCGCCGTGAAAATTTTAGCGAGTTTCGGACCCTCAAAACCATCACCCCCCCCCCCCCCCCCCCCCCCTGCCTACGCCGCATGCTTCCCCCTCTTTGCAAATATCAGCTAATTTTCCAAGATCTCGTATCTTTTTGTGCAGAAATGTTTGTTGATAAGCAAACCTGCCGCTAAAATTGGAAAGTAATTGGTAATTTGAGTACAAGTTACTCGGAAAAAGTAATTAAAGTAAACTACTGATTATCGAAATAAAAATGTAATTTAAAGTTACTAAACTACTCAGAAAAGTAGTTAAACTACAGTAGCTTGAGTAGAATTGTTAAACTACGTACAAGTCTGCTATGTATTTATTTTTGTAGTAAGGCGTTGCGTATGGGATTATTTAGCAGAACACCATTCATTATATCTCTTTCGGCACATTTCTTGTATTTTCCTTCGGATATATTATGTGAACACACAGTCCTTTTTGGTATTGACTGCGACCCCGTGTTTCGCACTGCCGAACAGCGAACAAAAAAGCACGTTTCGGCAAACTCAACAGCTGGCGTATTTTCGACTATCGTTTTCCCATGTCTGTCCCAAGCGGTTATGTGAACTTCATACAGTCAAATTTATTGATAACAAAAATATATTTAATTACTGACCGAAGATTTGACAACATAAGTGAAGGCCGACCATCTTAAAGACATCATAAGTAAATGTATCCCAAAATTATCTCAAATATTCTACGCAAATCCTTTTTCTGCGTTTTTATCCTCGATAGCTCTATAAGTGATTTGGGGAGAGCCTTAAACAAAATTTTGTCTTTGAAGATGATTTAAATAACTATGTGTTCGTGACACTTATTTAACTTCTCAAACATATAGAAGTTTGTTATAGCCTCTTTTATGCGATGAACAGCAATTGTATGTGTCCGTGGGCCAGACAAAAAACAAAGTAAACAGGGGCGCTGGCGGACCTATGACGCTTGCGCACCCAGACCGTCAGAAAGTACCGAGTCGAGCATGAGATACTACATATTTTTATTTAACGAAAAATCACAAATTAGCAAGGTTGATGCTTATTCGCAAATTGAATTGACCTGCATCGTGAAGAACAAATCTCAACAGCCAAGCTTTGCCGAAAATGTTCACTTTGGTACGCGCTATATTTACTCTGTTTCACTTTATGGTGTACCGCAGGAAAGGCTACAAGCGTGAGCTCCTTGCTCTAGGGCACATCTCGGCGGTACAAGCTCTCGTGCGTTAAGATCAGCTCCTAACGCTATGAGTTCGCGCTTCTAGCCTTCTCTGCGGTACAACATAAGGTGAAACGGAGCATACGCTCTATCTCAGGAGTTGTGTGCAGCAAAGGCAAAGGCCTTGGCGCCGGCACGTGGTTTTCAGATGTGCTTTCTTTTCGCGAGTGCTCGTGAAAGGAAAGCAAATATGAAAGCCAGGCCCTCGCACCTGTGCTTTTGTCTCTGCTGCATGCAACTCATGAGATGCAGTATTGGCAAGATTCGATCTGAGTAAGAAAGTGAGTATAAATTAGAGAGAAAAATTTTGATCACTCTTTTTTGCATGATAATTCGCCTGTATCACGGTGCTGAGTGTAAAGAACGTTGGTCAGGAAAACAAGCGTTGTGAGTGCTGTTTCTAGAAAGAATAGAGGAAGGGGTTCTCCTAAACCTTTCGTGACATTTTGAAAGTATTATTGCTTTTAGCTCAGTTGCGTCGTCATGATATATATTGTGAAACGTATTTCGTAAACTAGATTTCAAGATGTGTATGGCGAGGAGGTGCCCATTCCAGGATGTCATGCACTGTAAGTAATTCCGAAGTTTAAGAGCATAACTAGGATTCAACTTTTAATACTGCGACGTAAAGTTGTACCAATAAAAGTATTTTAGGCGACCTATCAGACTTCAGGATAACCTTTCGATTCAGATAAAATATATCCGACTGAGGTAAACAAATAGACGTTGAGTCGTAAAAACACGAGGCTTTGCACGTTAATCTAGCTTTTCTTTTTCTGTTTCGTCAAAATTAAATAGAGATTTTTTTTTTTTTTTTTTTTTTTATTTTTGCCACTTGAAAATAAAAGTGGATTGTATAAATGATAAAAATCTATATAGTTACTCGTTTCACGGCGGAAATAGTGCCTATTGCCAAAACAACGCAGAAGATACATTCCCAATTTAGCAGTTCAAACCGGTTCGAGCCGTTATCTTTTCTCCCTGGAACTGACCCGGAACTGAACCGAAAGCCGTGAACCCGAACTGAACCAATAAAAATTTCGGTTTGACACTCTGCCCCTGTGGAAAAGCAAGTCAAAGAAGCCGAGAGAGAAATGTGGGAGGAAGCAATGCAGGGGAAAAGAAAACAGGAAATGAGGAAGGAACATTGGTATTATAATTCACGGGGGAGCTCGTTGTTACTTGAGGCGGCGGTGTAGCGTTTGCCAAGAAGACGACGAGACAGACAACAATAGAACTTGTGGTGTTTAGGTTCTCGGGGCTTGCTCCCACCCTCCAGGAGGGTCCGACGGATTTAGCCGCCACGCTGGGGTTTGCAGACGGGAATAGATGAAAAGCCCATTTTAATAAGAAGAGATTCGAAGACCGGTGGGAATTTATCGAGGGAGAATCAAATGACGTACAACAAACAAACACAGATAGGGACAGGCGGTACGGAGGAAAATTGGGTTTCCCTCCAGCGTGACTCCGGCCCAAAGTCTCAAATCTATCTCCCAGTGGGCCTGGGACCTGGTGCTGGGGTAACGCCAAGGTTTGACCAAAAGAAAATTAAAAATATATGTATATAAAAAATAATATATATATATATATATATATATATTTTTTTTTTTTTTTTTTTTTTTTTTTTTTTTTTTTTGCGTGATAGTGGTATTTTACTCTGCCTGGTGAATGTAGAGGGCAGAAAGAGGAATGATACTTTTGGTTTTTGATTTCTAGGCTAGGTGGCGCAAGCTACCGCACAGCCGTTAGCATTCATTCACCTAGAATCTATCAGAATATCCCATACTCCGGACCGCATGCAAACCAGCGCAAACGGACGAAAACGGTATGCCTCGTCCGGAAACACTGCGCGGACAGGGGCGTTAACAAACAAGATGGAAGCGCGCAGCGCGAGGATCCTTGGCGGCCGTCCGCTGGAGCCCGTTCTCGCCGACATGCGAGTGCTGAACAAGCTCAGCGACGACCAGTTCGCCGAGTTAACAGACCTGGCCCTCCGCTTCCTCGTCAGCAAGGACTGGGCCGCGCTCGCCGAAGCCGTGGACGCTTTCGCGGCGCGCCACGGCGCCAACGCCGCCCTGCTGCGTCCCTGCTCCAAGTCCCTGGTCCTGCTGGCGGCCGAAGCGCTTCGTCAGAACCTCGGCTCTGCCCAGGTACGGCGCGACTTGGGCTCCCTGTCCCTGGACGCCGCCAAAGCAGCGACACTCGCCGAGCGTTGGGCGGCCGCGTACTCGTCCCGCGGAGCGCGCCCGAACCAGCTGCTGGACGCCCAGTGGAAATTCGGACTCACCGTGGCGAGTTCGGAGCACGAGCTCAAGAGCAGCTTCGTGCAGCTGAAGCTGTGCATCGAAGATCGCAGCGCCGGAGACGCGCCGAGGGACGTTCACGTCGAAATGAGTCTGCCGCAATTCTACTCGCTCTGCCACGAAATGGAGCAAGCCAAGCGGACGCTGCAGAGCTTGCACGGGTCCTAGGTCGCCTCGCGCGCCGCCCAAAGAGTACGTTGAGTACGTGGTACTCGTGTCACGCGGAGTCGTCGGTTTCCGGGGAGGTGCCCACTGCCTTGTCATCTAAGGAATAGGCGCCGTTCTTTTATACCTTCGAAAATGCTGTCTAAGCAAGCACCAGAGACCTCGAATAAAGACCCGTGTTTCGTTCCAATAGCTCAGTCTTTCTAAGCATGTATACTTACTATCCAATCACACGAACCTGACCACGGAGTATACTTACACAGGCCGTTTCGATCCAGGGCTTGCAGTGCCTCGAATGGTAGTATGTTGCTCTTTATTTACTAGCAGAAAATGGAACGGCCGTTCTCCAAAATAACACGGCATAAGTAATCTTCATGGTATACCTTGCCAACTACTGAATAGCCAGCCGTTTAATAATCTCTCAAAATACCACCTGGAAATGTCAAACAGGTCCATAACATAGTGTTTCCAGTAAATGTGTTGTTCTGTTTTACCATCCAGAAGTTTTTCTTTAAAATGCCCAGAGGCAGCATGCATAGATTTATATGGCACTTTGGTGGCCCTATGGATATGTTAGCAATTTCATATTCAAGCAAACATGCCCACAACCTGACAAAGGCATATTGCGGTGTAGGCACAGTTAATCTTTTGACACCCTAGCAACAGGTTTCCGCCGATATCACTACTGCAAAGTGTTATGCACCATCCATGTCTATTAGCTCTTGGGATGTTTTTGTTGATTATATGAATACATACTGCTGCCATGTCTCGACCGAAGACATTTTCGATGCCTCCAATAGATGCAGGTTACTGGGATATACAATGCCACCAGCTACCCGTTCCTGCTCCGAGCCTACTGCTTTCCCATAGGGAATTCTTGGAGTCCACTCGGAGCAGTGGGCAATCAGGCAAGACTTTCTTTGTGCAGCAACATATGCCACCAACATCTTGGCACGTCTCCAGCCTTTAATGCGTTCATGTCAATGTTGCCCCAGGAGGCGGTTACTAATGCTGTCCCTTGAAAAGCTGTAGAGCTCGACGTAAACCCTAAGACTGCCGGTAAGACCGACAAAAACACAGATTATAAACCAGACAAAACACTAAAAGGTTAACCATTTCGTTGTTTACCCTGAGACTGGGGGTTTTTTTTCACTAAAAGGTTGAGTTTTAGTGAAATCTAGGCAAAATCTTGAGGTAGTGGCACCACGCAACCAAAGCATCAGTTGCCATGTATACGCTGCTTCATGCCAGGGAGTAAATGCCAAATTCACACAGTCTCATGCTGCTAACATGTGCTGAATGTGTCTTTTAACCACCATCTGACATCTTTAGCACATTAACTTCTGGATGTCACACTGCAGCTTTCCTTCAGCATGACATGCAATCACTGTTGCTGCACTGCCACTTCATTTTTTCCCGCGTCGAGTGGCGAAATATTTTTTTTCCCCTACAAAAACAATTTAGTGACAAAAGTCATATGTAAGATATGCAGGATGACAGATGTCTTTAAGTACAGCAACAGCTCAGATATGTTCTTGTTATGCAAAATTTTCATCACATAAATTACAAAATGTAGAAGTTGATGTTCGGCAAACTAGCCCCCCTTCTTCCTTTTCCATACTCCACATATGTAGCTGAATGAACCAGGGGAACTAAATGAAGGCAAGCAGACCACCAACTAAAGTCGCCTGCTCGCTTTCGTGATGTGGAAGGAACGGCACCTACTATGCAATCCATGATCTACTGCACTAACCGAAGACTTACGTGTGTAGCTAGTGGCGAGGAAGCTCTTGAACCGGCAGCACGCACATAGCCTTGGTGGATTGGATTAGCTCTTAAAAACATCAGAATATCTGTGACTAAACGACACCTCCTTTTGTTCAATGTAGATGAGAAAACTATGAAATTTCAGTTTAGTGTTTGACTAAAAAATATTTCCCATGTTTTAGGATGTGTATAAATTCTGCGTTCCCTTTTTCCCTAGCTGTCAGGCTTTTCCCCACAATATGGACAATTTCCCACGATTCGGCAACACTGCATGCAATGCAGCTCAGCATCTAAAACTCTAAAGACTCAGGCAAGCTTCGAGCTGTTTGCCAGCTTACCATTGTCCAAACCATCGACACAGACTTGTGGGACAAGGGTGTTGACGACACCAGGCACGCGTCGAAAGACCCGCGAAACTACCTGTACCTGCATTCACCTCAAGAACTGTAGTAAAATAAGTCTGGCTCCTCGCAGAACGTTACTAATTTTCACATTTCTGTGTTTAATTAAGATATAGGTAAGTGCACCTATGATTAGTTTCATGTTATTTTACCAGGACATACATGTTTCAAATGCTAAAAGCACTGCTTTTCCTTCGACAACCAAAACTTGTAAGAACTACTTCGTGCAGTGCATAAAAGTGCGCAAAAGTTACTTTTTTCTTGGTGCGATAACGAGCATGCTCAGCTCTACTGCCCTCTTTTTGCAAAATTCGTCATCAGAAAAATATTCATTAACTCGGTCAAATTCACAGCCTGCAAAAATGAAGTCACCCACAGGATCCAAACCTCTCTGAAGTCAACTGACAAAACAAAATAAGTATTTTTCTACATCTGCAATAGCTCAAATGTTTGAACCAGCCTTAGAAACCAAACAGTTTTATCGCCGAGAATGGTTGTGGTAAACGAGTGTACAACAGCAGGGCATCGACGTAACTACCTTCGATCCGTCAAACAGACTTTCTTACCGCACCAAGGAAAGGGAACAACAAGCACGCGGAATATCATGGAAACAGCTCTATTTCTGGCCCACAGGTTACACACACACAATCACATAGGCAGGGGTGGAAAAAAAAAGGGGGAAATGGGGTGGCACACCAGATCTGCTGCATAGTGGTTTTGGGGGGGACCCCACCAAGTGTGGCCGGTGCCCAAAGGACCACCAGACCCTTCCTCCCGCCACTGCCTTTGCAGCGGGCGGCAGTCGCTTCACCGCCGGTTGGGCTTCGCTCGGATGCAGACGACACGGGCCGTCCGGACACCGTGCATGCTTGGCGGTGGCTACGGCCGGCCCAGTCAAAGTGGCTAGAGTTCCTTCGAACGCGGCGTGTGCAACCGCAATCCTTGGCCTGTCTGTCGACAGCTGTCCAGAAACACGCTTATTTGTTGGTGAGCCCCTTCTCCCATTTCATAGAATTCTGGCTTGTGCACAAGAGGGAAATGCAGAAGAACCTGTTTGGGTTGGTTGGTCGTACTGTTACGGCCTTGAGTCAGTCTAAACTTCAGACGGCGTTCGGTAATGTTAAAATTAGTACAGCAATTCGGATGCTTTGTCTGGATGTTCGTACGGCGCCCACGATACTTTGATTGGAGCCCAATGTTCTGCATCCCCTTAGCTCGCAGCAGCACACCATAGACCAACAAGGAAAACATACTGCCCAAAATGTGATGGTTACTGCCAATGTTGAGAGGTGGGCACTGGTCTAAGCTGAATCCCACGATAAACAGAGATAAACCGACCCGAGATTTTTCCTCTGAACGGCGGCAGGTTGCTCGCATAAAAGGTGTGGGCCAAATCTTGCTGCAGAAAAAGGTGCAGAATGGATGCATGCTAGAAAATTACTCATAACTATCGGCGATATATTTTAGGGGTGCCTCTTCCCTTGCAAGTTCGAGACATTAAAATGCTTGCCTTTTTGCAAAAAGGAACAATAAAAATAATTGTACTTTCTAGAGCAAATGGTAGAAGTCCCTGGTGCTGGGGAAAAGTTTGAGCACTCCACTGACTGGATGCTTTTTCAGAAAGTGGTAGTGGTGGTGGTGGTGCTGATGGTGGTGCTGGTGATGACGTCTCCAAGTTTCAGTTTCCGAAGAGAAAGCAAGTAGAGAGTATGGACTTCCTTTTTTTCTTTTCTCTCTACCCTTTCGAAAATGACTGAATCAAACTTTCCCCAAAAAGTCCAGTCACACGATTAAAAATTTCAGTTTCCAATGCGCAAAAACGCAGTCAAAGTTATTCACATGACTAACATATACATAAAATTCCAATTCGTGTCTGCCACCGACGGCCAGATTGACGGGTTCTGAACCGCCGGCACTAGGAAATGCTCCAAAACACCAGGAAACGCCACCACCACAACCGCGTTGGCATCCGAACGGTGCCCCGAAGTGCCAGGTCATCACGAAACACAACCTTCAGATCCAAGAGGTGCAACGACGAACAAGCCCGCGAACGGAACGCCAAAAGCCGCAGCCGGACCGTCTGCGCACCTCAGCAGCAGACGCCCTCCCAATCGCGTCCCCGCTGCTGCATCCTGCCCGGCCTTCGAGCCGCACTCGGAGGCCGGACTAGTCCGGACGTCGTTCCTTCGAGGCCGGAGCGGCTGCACTCGAGTCGCCTTCCGGCGAGCTGAAAGGTGTGGTGGTCTCTGGGGCACAGTTCCGTCCGGCGGGGCACACGCACGCACACCGACCTCGGGGAGGCGGGGCTTGTCGGGATGGCCGCCTACTCCAGCGTGATTAGCTCCACGTCGAAGGTCAGCGTCGCATTCGGGGGGATGGTGGCTCTCCGTCAAGGTCACGCACTCGCCACGAGCAGAATCGAGAAGGGGTTGCGACAGTTTTCCAATCGCATTTATACTGTAGGTTAACGAACCGACCGTGCACCACTATACTCTGTTCCAGCATAACATGGCAAAAAGAATGTTTCAGCCGCTGCCAATCAATAAAAGAGAGAAGCATGCAACAGCTCTCCTTGCGAAAGAGCTGTCACTTCCTCAAAATGAAGGAGTGTACGCCGATGGCACGTAGTCCCATGTCTTGCACCAAAGTTCCGATTGGCTCACTAAGGACGTGGCTTTTGCCGTTTGCAAAGTAATGGTGAAACAAAGTATAGTGGCCACCATGAAAATCAAAATGCCATTCAGTCAGTAAGAATGCACCTCATCACAATTTCTTCCTCATTTAAATAAAAAAACAGGATATATAGACTGGGTCCACATAACACCCGAGTGTCAAAGCAATGAATCAATTCACGTGCATGCGTCGCATCCATCGAGTGTTGCTTCGGTTTCACTTACCACTTTTCCCCGTGTATCGGGCCAAAAAAGGGCCAACCCTTATTCTCTTGGAAGTACTAAAGCCAGTTATAAAGCTCGCATCTGTCAATTCACGTAGGTGCTTTCAGTGATCCTACAGCTGCAGCTGTTTGTCAATTCATACTGCCAAGATATTTCTAGCAATCGGGTCGTCGGGGCCCCGCATATTCACAGTCAGTTGCTTTGTTTCGCCTGCACCGCCAGATTCGGTCATACACTCACGTTCCCGCCTAGATTCCGACTCCCCAATTAAGTGTGTCGCCCACTTCTTCCACGAACCTTCTCGCTTCTTTGTCTATCCATCCGGTTTGTACATTATGTTTCGTCGTGTCACTAAGATCGATGTTGAGACAGATGCGCTCGACAAGCCCGAAACAACCCGAAACAACGCAACACATTTGCCGGTTGATGCTAGCAAACCTGCTGCTACTCAGCACCAGCTAATGCACCACTCCTCCTCAGCCCGTCCACCGAGGGACCGTCAGACGCACACCACTTGGCAACAAGGACGCAATCTAAGGCCATGCAACGGACGTCGTGGTGAATGCTCAAAAGGATATATCCCCGGATGCCCCACTGCTCCGTAGGCGTAGTCTGGAGAGCAGATCACCTTTGCTCTCTGCCCAACGCTCATCTGCAGGGAACAAGTTACAAAGGTTGTTTCAGTACGGACCCTGGACCAGCTGGGAGAAGCAGAGTTTTGAGACCCTTTTGAAGCGCAATGCTGCGCTAAACCTCAATGTCGTGACTGCATTCGTTGCAATCTGACGGCTGTGGCACTTGTTAAAAAAAAAGTTTAGGTCCTCCACACAATGCGTGCCAAAAAGAAGAGTGCCGGGAAGTTTTCACATTTTCTGCGATAGGCGTGTTATAAAGGCACAAGGCTACTGATGACGTGTGGCAGCAAGCCTGTGACGAACCTCAGCAAAAACGGGACAACAGCAATACCTAGTGAAGAAAGGTAAAAAACACAGGCGAGCTGGTGAATGATATCCATAGTAACCCTGAGACGTAGGAAAAATAAAAAACACAGACAGTACAACAAAGTCTCTAACACAGCTTTTGTGTTAAGCTCTGTTAGCTTAAAGAAGCTGTGTTAGACTTTGTTGTACTGTACATTTTTTTCTTTTTCCTATGTCTGAGGGTTACTATGGATAACAGCAATACCATTTCCAAACTCTAGAAGTTTTGCCACGGTTGTCCAGTCGTTGGCCACCCTTGTCTCGGGGTTGCTGCCATGCACCGCTGCATTTTCGTGGTTTTCCGAAGCCCTGCCTCTGTTCCAACCGAGTTCTCTAAAACTTTCTCAGACCTTCCCTAGGTCAAGAGAGCTGCCTAACAATCCCCACTTGTACGAATTGCACCTTCCACACATCAAAAACATCTGAAAAGTTCCAGATATAATGGGTGATTTCATTGCAAATCGGGCCGGTTGAAATAGCACAATTCCTATTTTTTGCAAAGAAAAATATATGTTTTGGGGGCATTTTTAAAAGGAAAGAGGGCACAAACCATAAATTTCTTGTATTTTTGTTCTCGAGTTATGGAGTGTAGAAGACGCTGCGGCAGAAATTAGCGTTTTCCTTTGCCGTCGCAGGTTGTATGTTTGGCACCCTCCACTGCCATTATTTTTTTTTCTCTGCCTCCTCCAAACTTTTTTTCTAACATTTAGTATGTACTATGAGGACACTCTGGATAAAATACAAATTTTCAAGTTTTTCTTAAAAATTTTTTTTACAAAATGTGACTGGCTTTTCAGGTCGATTTTTTTTTTTTTTTGTCAACTTTGAGAGGTGCCTATTTTGGTTAAAGTTATGATAAATTATCTTTTTTAGATCTCCGGAGCCCAAGACAAGCTGATTATAGATATAATAATATCATTCAGATCTGCCAATTAGCCGTATCGCTATTGTCTTGTGAACAGTGTATAAAATAACAAAAGTTGCATTTTTAAAACTCATTTCTTCAAAAAACTTTTCTTATTTTTTAGTTTTTGCATTTTTTTTAGATACAATAGTAGACTGTTAGAAAATCTAATCTAGAAATGTCATATTTTGGCTGTATGTCCTCTATCTGAACCGCAATCTTGTGAAATCAGTGTTCCTTTGGGTAGACAACACGTGTCCTTACCAACCTTGGGCATCTCTGTGATTTCAAACATATATATTGTTCACAATGTAAAAAAAGTAACATAAAGTAGCTGAACTTTTGATATTCAATATGGTTTAGAGTTTGGTATAAGACAAAAACATATAAGCACACTATAAAACAGTAACAAGTGTACAAAAAACAGAAGGCCACGCAACATGCCAAGATTGTTTCTATATAATAATGTTCAAAATAAATGAGGGTGGATACTGATCGTCCAGAACATTACGAAGGAATTAGAAATTGTTATGCTATTCAAATCTCATACGTAAAACTTCTGAATATAGATGCTGGGTTCTGTTCACCTCAGATGGTGGAGATCACAGACGGTTGACTGCACAGTTCTTGCAGCTAAGTAAAATATGAAGACACACACACAGAACCAGTTTGAAAAAAAAAAGTCAATGGCACATTCTTTGATGGCAGTAAATTATTTGACTAGTTTAATCAGTTCCTCTAAAAGGCTGACATACTGTTGGCACTTTCCGTTTCTTCATCCTTCCCCTTTTCCAAAAACCGAGGTTGTGCACTGGTCTTCAACTTAATTACACCTCAAATGCAGCCTCTTTTTTTTTTTTTTTTTTTTTTTATAAAACTAGTTGGTGTAGGAAACGTGTCACCATCTAGTAAATTAATTTATAGTTGTGTAGCCACTACGAAGGTCTGAATGCTCTCTCCTTAGGTGCTCCACGCCCATAGTTTTCACTTCACCACCCAAAACATTTCCCCTAAGTACTGGTATAGAAACACTCCAAATGAGTCAGCAAAGCCAACGGCAAAGACAACGTGCCTAAAATTGGAAGATGACGCAACAAATCAAGCGCTCTGCACCCTCTTGTCTTCCTTGTCCCCGTTTTCCCGAGGTGATTTCATCTGATCAAACTCGCACTTGACTGCGATTATTTTTGGTGTCCTGGACCTTGTTAACTGGCAGTTAGATCATCAACGGCGTCTATTCCATAAACACGAGTCAACTACTGTCAGACACATTCGGTGGTTCTTAATGAACTTGACGCAGAGAATTCCAAACGACTATGGGGTGCCCTGGGAAAAAAGTTTTCATTGTTTTCTTCGTCACAAAATTAAACCACGCATTGCCGAACGCCCAGCCTCCGTCAAGATGTAGCACTAGTGGTCTGGACCAGGTACCAAAGTGTCGGAACTTGCCTTTATCCAATTAAAAAGTACTAAACAATTTTTAAAAATTCTCAATTAAAAATTTTTGAGAAAATGGCGGCCGACAGTGTCCGCGAATATGTGGAGTTTAATGGCCTAGGTTACTGGGAATGCGTCTGCTAGTACTACATTTCAATGGAGAGTGGGCACTTGGCAATGCATAGATTATTTCTGTGGTGGAAAAACACTGTAAACTGTTTTCCCAGACACCTGGTAGAAGAAACAAGCTGGCCGAGCATGGAGGCAGCCATATTGAACGAAACACTGTCACGATCGCCTGTAGGAGGGATGGAACTTAAAAGCCGAGACGGCTCGAGCCACTTGCCTGTGCGACTCCCTCGTCCCAGCCCCTGATCACCTCCCCCTTGCCGATGCGGAACTTGAAGGGCTTGCCCCGATCTCGAGACGAGTCGAACTGCTGCCCGTTGGCCAGCGTGCCTGCGGCAGGAGGGAACAGCGTCGGGGGTTCGCGTTTCAAAACGACGCTTGGAGCGCTTCGGAGAAGGGCTCGCAATACACAATTCTGCTAATTACCCAAGCACTAAAGAGTGTAGTCACAGATGCTGCGTTTAGAGAAAAACTAATGTTTATGTGCAATGACATATTTCTAAATATTCCTTCAATAAACAAAGATTACGAGAACTTCAGTCGAAGAAAATAATGTAGACCAATGGGCTAGATGGCTAAAAGTAATCAAATGATATCCAGCATGCCCAAAAAAGAGGCGAACTAGGGCCCCAGGCAGGATCTGGCCTGCAGGGTTGTTTCATTCATCCCACGGTCATCTCAATCTCGGAAAAACCTGTCTTAGTCCACGGCAGCCCGAACTCATCCTCTTGTTTTTTGTAAAGGCCAAAAGGGGCGCTGCATAGAATTCCTACATACTTGTACTTTTAATGATGTTGCCTTTCGGCTTCCTAGGCATCTCAATATACCACCCAAATTTTTTTCAATCCTTACAATGGCAGCTGATATTTTGCTCAGAGACCTGGGGGCTTATGTTTGGCAAATCTTTCGTTTCTCCTAAAAAGAAACGGAAGTGACGATATTGCGTCTGATTGGTTAGAGGCCCAAATGACGAAATTTCCCTATGAAAATGTGGGTGGAGATGGGTAAACCAAACGCGCCACCCCCACCGGAAGTGACAAAACATTGACATATCGTTTCCTTGCTGTTTCGTCTAAAACGGGAATGAGTCCATCTATGTCTCTTTCGGCATGAAACCGATTGACTTCGTCTCATTTTAGTAATGGGTGCCTTTTTGTACCGGGAATGAGGCTCGGTTGTGTTTATTAGTGTGTGTGACATGAATGAGGAATATTTTATGAGTATCTACCACTGGCAAGCAATGCTTCAAAATGGATTGTGCTACTGCGTCGTCGAGAGCGCAGTGGCGAGGCCAGCAAGGCTGCGACCGCAACGTTTGTGTCCTGCGGGACCGTGCTCGTTTTACCCTTTACCATTATGCGAACAAAGCAGTGTTGGTGTCGTGTTGTTACTGCAACGATTGTGAATTCTAGCGAAACCGGCGAAACACCCAGTGTTGCGTTCGTCTCGGTAATGCACGTCCTATGGCGTGTTGACACATCGACATCGCCGTGTATTCGAGTTCACACTCATGCTAACTTCTGCAAATCAGTTACCGACAATGCAGCGTTACGACCACGGTACATGTAATTCTTCTCAGTCTTTAGTGCTTTGTTTCTAACTGATTTAGCCGTGGCAGAAAACATATTGAAATCACGTTGTCCAACTTCCGTTGTTTTGCTGTAATAATAATTAAGGTTGTGTGGATATTTATACAGTGTGTAGTTGGTTATCCATTCCAAAGTTTAACGAGTCACTCAATGTAGATGAGCAATGTGGCCAATGCAGTGCAACCGATAGCCTGGGAACTTTAATGTGGACCACGCAGTTGCGATACACGACCGCACGCTGGTACGATGCTCATCCAAATCGAAACGAGCAGGGTGAGGATTGAACCCAGGATCCTGGGTACTGCAGTGCGAGCTTTCGCTTCACGTGCTCCGAGCTGGTGTGCGCTAGCCAACTCGGCTACCGATCCCCCTTGTTTTGCTGTACTCCTAATAATAACAGTAATAATACCTATGTCTGCTTGACATGTATGTATGCGAGAGCGAACATGGCTTGTTCACAGATATGCATAAAGAATGAGTCCACCCCCACATCTGGGATGCATCCGAATGGTTTTATGACGTGCTACGGGTGGTGCTTTAACCGTACCTTCTAACTTTCGGTTAAATCCTGAAAATTGGCAGCTGTGGAGTACATCATTTTAAGCTCAGTTCGTTGCAGTGAAATCTCGCCAACTCTTACAATCGCAATGCACGCTTGCTAGATATACCCCAATTTTAGGGCCTCCACAGTGCTCTACATTATTTCACTCATGTTCTCAATCCTTGCAGCATGCCAGCAACATCGAGAATATATGTCTGGTAGAAGTTCTAGATGGGACAGTATTGTCAGACAGTGAATGTAGCATGAAAACTATCCGTGAACATGATGGTCCCTGCTCAGGGTTTCAGCATAAACTAGCTACACAGCATTGTCTGATGAGTCTTCCAATTAATTTTGGAGGTTATGACAGTGATGCCCCTTGTTGGAATCCGTCCCAAGCCTCGGACCGGTGTCATGCAAAGGATCTTGCTGTTGGCGTGTCACATTCCCCAAAGTCTGCAGCCCCCGCCATTCTGAAATGTCAGTTCCCAGATGCGTGCAGTCATCCAAGCTTGTCGGACTGGCACTTGCCGCCTGATGAGTTTACCAAAAGCGCATGCACTTTGACAGATGGCTGTGGTGTAGCAGTGGCGACAGCACCAGCCAGTAGAGCTGCCGTCTGTTACGCCTAAAATAAATGATAGTATACCAATGCTGGATATTGTTTTATTACAAAGTGGTTGTTAATTTTTTTTGCTTTGCTCTCAAGTAGCCCGCCGCTCCAAGGATCAGGTGAAGGTTCCTTGGCTTCACTCCTATCACATAGTGGAGCACACAAGTTCATCAAATCAGTGCACTTTGAGGTGAATAGCCTGAAGAGATTGCTGGCCCAATGGGGTTTGAAGCTCCGGATGGCCCACAGATTATGACCACCAACTGGAGCTTGAATATCTGGCTGATCACTGGAACCTTTTAGGTCTTCTTGTGACGTCCAGGCAATCAGGCAGGTTGAAATAACTGTAAGACATTAGAATTATTGACTTACACAGTATAAACAAATTAAACTTGTTTGATTATGCTTCAAGTAATGGATGTGATCATGTGTACATCCTTGATGGAGTAGTCAACATGGTATACCAAGACTGAACGGAGCTTCACACAGCTCATACTAGCAAACCTAATGTACTGTAATTTGTTTTTATATGAGGTGACTCAAATGTTTTTGGAGATTGTAGCGATGTCATTAACCCTTTGGCGGCCGTCGCCATACATGCACAGTGGTGATTACATATTTGAAAGTGCCTGCCTAAACGCGAAACTGCGGACACTGCAGGAGGTGTTGCTATTTGTTTTGTCTTTGGTGAACTATAAACATTATATACATACATTGTTTCACATTGCTCGACTATTTATAGTTTTCAAATTAGACGTGATGCTCACTTCTCATACGTGATGTTCACTTCTCATACTGGCTGCTCTGGCACTAGTGCCCATGGGAGGGAGCACAGGCACCTTTGATTCAGGCTTCCAACACTTTTCGGTTTTAAATTGAAAGGATGGGATGTCATCATCCGCCGAGGGAGTTGTGCAAAGTACCTCCGGCTAGGTATCTGAAGCAGCTGGAATGTTGCGGAAGAGGATGCGCTAAAATAAAAATGAATGGAAGAAAGACTAACAATAATAATCTCTGGAGAGAAGGAACAAGGACGACAAAATACAAACACAAATCTCCAAACACAGCTAGGTGACTGGTGCACGACTGAAAAACCCTGCCTGGTCCTGGTATCGAACCAGGGACCTCTCCATTTCCAGTGAAGCGCTCTACAGACTGAGCTAACCAGGAATTTGATACCAGGACCAGGCGGATTTTTTCAGACGTGCACCAGACACCCAGCGGTGTTTGGAGATTTGTGCTTGTCCTTCGTACCCTTGTTCCCCTTTTCCAGGGATTATTATTGTTATTCTTGTACAGCTCGCCTCAACCTTTGCATCACTTTCATTACCATTGAAAAAAAGGTGACAACCTTTTTTCTTCAATGTTTTCATTTAGTGCTTCTAAACCTAAACAGCCTGCAAGCACTGTACTTAAAATGGCCTGTGCATTGACCCTTTCCTTATGCTATTCCTTTGCAAACAAAACCGGACCACTGGGAATCGTTTTTTGGGAAAAACCAAAACTCACAATGCTTTCGTGAACAGTTTCTGGAAGGCACAATGCCCATAGTTTGTGCATAAGGCGCATGCTTTGCGAAGTGGCAAACACGGCTGTAGGACCGTTTTTCAAACAACAATCCGTCGCACGTCAGCTGGTAGCAGGGCCATTCGTCAGACCAGTAACAGTTTGTCCAGTTTTTTTGTTTTTTTTAGCATTTCTGATGTTCATTGAACATACCGTAGAATACCGTGCATGCGCCCATTACCAAATTTCTAAGATCTGAGAAAATATGCACATTACATTTATATGTCAAATTGATGACCGGACAAGCGCTTATCCCCCATTTTTTTGCGATTATCTCCAAAATTTGAGTGGGCGCTTGCCCGGTATTTTACGGTATGTTCAATGAACATCAGAAATGCTAAAAAGAAAAGTAGTAGAATTACTAGCGAACCCCTTCCTTGATTTAATTTTTTTGTCTCGGCACAAGAAATTAGACTTTTACAAATTTCTAAAAGATACTGCCTATTGTAGAATACCGTGCATCTGCCCATCCCACACTAAGTGCCCATTCCTAAATTTGCAAGATCTGAGAAAATATGCACAGTACATTTGTACGTAAAATTGATGACCGGACAAGCGCCCATCCCCCATTTTTCCGCAATGTCAATTATGAGTGGGCGCTTGCCTGGCATTTAAAGGGGTGCTCCACCGATTTTTTGAGCTACCTCAACTAACTATATTTTCTGACTCCCCGGCCTTTACTCTCTTCGGTATGCTACTTAGAATCGCGAAATTAATATTAGTTATTGCGAAATCGGCAAATGAAAATGATGCAAAAGCCAACATTCAAATATACGCGCGCTTTTCAGGGCCGTGACGTCAGTGGCAGGCAGGCTTGCCAGTCGAGCAAGCAGCCAAAAAATAGAATATGCCAATCATTTGTTCCGTGCGGGAGCACGGGTACTGCAGCGAGCTTCCCAAGCATTCATTTGACACTATGAAACTGCTTCGAATCAGTTTAAAACAAAATCCACAGCCCAAAGAGTGAACCCCTGCCTTCCACTGACGTCACTTTTTCATTGTTGCCAGTAGAGACTTCGAGATTGAAAAACACGGCGAGGACCAAAACTGTAATTTCAATAACTTCGCGAAAAAACAATATTTGGACCTAATATTTGGGATACTATTTTCGCGGTGTTTGTTGGTTAGTTTAGCAAAATTTCAAGCAAATCGGAGACAATGAAAAAATCGGTGGAGTAGCCCTTTAACGGTACTTATTCTTGTCCACCACAATCTTGGCACCTCAGTCACTAATGAAAAAAATGGATGGCAAATTGCTAGGCACTTGTGGGATGTTACGTGAAACATTTCAGTCGTGCATCTAAGCCTGCATCTGTCCCACATGCACAGTCTGTGTCGGTGTCGCGCACGTAGACGAGTTATACCCCTGTCAGACGGGCACCTTGAATGTCATTTACGCTAAAGGCCTTTAGGATTTTCAAATGACATTTAAGTCGTGTCGTGTCAGACGGGCAACTCAAATGTCATTTAGGTGATGTCAATCACGATAGCGGTCTGTTGTTAACCCGGCAAACTAGTGTTTATTTTATTGTTTCCTAAGTAAATAAAATGTAATGAATTCTTAGAACATAGAATTCAAACGCGAGGATGAAAACTAAGTACACGTTTTGACGGAGACAAGGTGTTTTGTGGCAACGACACGACGTCAGCAATCCCAAGTAATCCGTAGCCGTAGCCGTTCCGCCGCTTGGCTTGTCTGCTTTCGGAACTCCGTGCATCTTGCTCGCGTTGTTCCTCGCACTCTTTCGTTCTTTGCCGGATTCGTATACCCCGTTAACGTTTACGTCTGCGATTGATTCAAGCGAAGACCGTGACCCTGTAGCGATGGAGCCTGCTGACGACAATATGGATCCGGAACTGCCGGAACGTAGGATCGCGTTCCTGACGCGCAACTGAGACCGCAAGTATATAACAAATATATCGCAAAAGGTGTGCGAGATATACACGTTATAAGCATTTTTTTTTTCTAAAAATAATTGCTACAAGCATTGTTTTCAATTGTATTTATATTATATATAATGTTTTATTTCAATTCGCGGAACTTGTGCTGACCGCTGTTGGCGAGACTACACATTTACGAGCCGTAAATGAGTTTGGGAGAACTCAGTTGAGCTCGAATGTCATTTAAGTCAAATGTCATTTGAGTTGCCGTGTGACACTGCCTAAATGACATTTACACTGAATGTCATTTGGGGTAAATGTCATTTGAGGTGCCCGTCTGACAGGGGTATTACATTCTTTTTGTGTAGCACATATGCCACATCTGTGTCATGCATGCACAGTCTGTGTCGCGCACGTGGATGTGCTACGTTCTCTTTGTGTCGCTGTGGATGATACATTCTCTCCGCGTTGCTGCGGCTTTGTGTGGATGGCGGTGTATGAAAATCCACCACAAAGTAGCATCTCTCCGCCTCTTTCCGTCTGGATGACTTCCATGGCAACTTCAAAGATAGATGCGTGAAACCAAACCTTGTATGGCAGTCTGCCGATTCATGAACAAGTCATTGGAAGTCTCATTTCAAAATACCAAATACCCAAGTCAACGGTGCTGAAAAAACTGAAGGGTGTGGGACTTAAAGGGGTACTCCACCGGTTTTTTGAGCTACCTCAACTAACTATATTTTCTGACTCCCCGGCCTTTACTCTCTCCGGTATGCTATTTAGAATCGCGAAATTCATAATAGTTATTGCAAAATGGGCAAATGAAAATGATGCAAAAACCAACATTCAAATATACGCGCGCTTTTCAGGACCGTGACGTCAGTGACAGGCAGGCTTGCCAGTCGAGCAAGCAGCCAAAAAATAGAATATGCCAATCATTTGTTCCGTGCTGGAGCGCGGGTACTGCAGCGAGCTTCCCAAGCATTCATTTGACACCATGAAACTGCCTCGAATCAGTTTAAAACAAAATCTACAGCCCAAAGAGTGAACCCCTGCCTTCCACTGACGTCACTTTTTCATTGTTGCCAGTAGAGACTTCGAGCTTGAAAAACACGGTGAGGACCAAAACTGTAAATTCAATAACTTCGCGAAAAAACAATATTTTGACCTAATATTTGGGATACTATTTTTGCGATGTTTGTGTGTTAGTTTAGCAAAATTTCAAGCAAATCGGAGACAATGAAAAAATCGGTGGAGTAGCCCTTTAAAAGGATACAATTAACAACTTTTTAAACAGAAGCTGAATAACAAAAGTGACCGAATGCTAAAAAAGCTAGCATACGGGCAACAAGATCTTCAAACATTATCTCCTGTTTTCCAACAAGTCCAAATGACGAATCCCCCTAAGATGAACTGCCCTATGTGACGAATTGCCCTGCTTTGAGTTGCCCTATTACGAATTGTCTTTCGACGAATGGCTCGTATCCTGGCAAAGGCATACTCGATGAACCGTGGAGGTTGCATGCTCAATTATAGAACTGTGAAGCCACAGCGACAGAGCTCGTACATCATACAAAAGACGATGTCTGCTGCAGACAGAATTGTGTGCCGACACGCCTCAAGCACGGCAGAAGCCATTCACATGTATGCATCGAACATGCCTGCAGAGGGTTGTCCCAATGTGACTTCCTACAAGGAAGGTCTCAGTGTCTGCACACTGCCTTTTGTGCAATGGATTCTCTCTGTGACCGCAACTTAAACGCTGTAAGAAAGCAGCTGCGAAACGCACTGGCGTGCGCCCACTTTTATCTAAGTTGTCTTCGTATCTCTCTCTGGCGCTCACGCACCTTGAAGAGCAAGAGGATAATGGTCGCAACTTTTGCTCACTTTTGAAGAAAAGCTTGCGCGAATGAGATTTTAAGCGAGCTCACCTGCCCACGCTATTGATTTTACAGATTGTACATTAGTGATGCTTGCGCTTGCTGCCTTACCTGAAAGGCAGCAGACCGTTTCACCAAGTGCCGTGCGGTCGCAGGCATATACTTTTTCTTTGTAGTTCCCTTTTTCCTGTAAGTGGAGACGTAGTTAACCTCCGGTCGCAAGATTTGAGGAGAGCAATCGCCTTACCTTTAGGCGCTTCGCCACATTCTTCTGGCAGCTGGAAGTGCGGCCCCAATAGTCGGCGAGTTCTTGATTAAGATCAGTGAAGAAGCTTTGACAGGTACGATGGAGTCGCAACAACAATATGTTACGTCCACGACTCCGCAGACGTGTTTTTGGCCGCGTTCTCACAGGCGTCTGTCATGTTCCGAAACAGCCGATACGGAGACTCACAACTGCGGAGTGTCCTTCGCAACAAGTTTAGCCCGATGTTTACCTACGACAATTATCACGTAACGAGGAACTTCTTTTGTCAGATGTTTATTTTAAAATAGAGGTGACGCGACTGTTGTGCTCGCACAAGATTGGCAGCCGTTGCTCCGCTAAACAGAGAAACAACACTTCTGGTTGCCGGAGAAACGGACACTCGTGCAGGGACCAGGTTTCGCATAGGTATGTCAGGGGGACAGCATAGCTCCTTCCACTCCGAAGGTTCGCTCTTGAAGACTCTCAAAAGAGTGACGGACGCCAATCTTGCAATGTCATCAAGGCGACTAAAAGAGGGCGGTTGTATGGTGCGTGCTGTAGTTTGGTTACGTCCCTCCTACCCCTACGTCACTTCTGTTTCTAGTTTGTCAGAAGTCGAACATAGCTATCCTGGGCTGGCTTTCCAGAAACAGTCTTAGCCAAGGCCGACTGAAAGAAAGCGTTCATTGTCAAAGCTAGCGCCCGGGCGGAGTGGCACATCAAGTCGAGTCTCGAGCGCTTACGCGTCTCAAGCTTGCCGGGATCTCTTTCACAGTCTTAGCTAAGACGCTATTTCTAGCAATACTGCCCTAGCTCCTCCAGTCCTGGAAAAGCAAGGCCACCTCGCCAAATGTCGCTGCGAGACCAACCAGCTTACTGTGGGAAATTATGCATGTAGCTACTCTCCTCCACGAGTGAAACAGGTAATGACCAAGTGTCCGTCAGAAGCCCCAAGGGAGCCTTGACGAGAGGCAGGGTGCGGCAGGCAAGGGAGAAGGCAGGCGGAGTGACCCACCTGTGTAGTGCACCACCACGGTCTGCCCCGTCTTGGGGAAGGTTTGTCCTGCAGGAGAGGAAGGCAACATCACTCTCAAGTCCTCCAAACCCAGTCAAGCACTACAACGAGCAAGCTTGAACACTTTTCTCTGGTGAATTCTGCATGCTTCCTACGTAGCGCCGAATGCCACGACTGCCATGTTGCCCTTACCTGTCACTGGTTTCAACAATAGTGTCTGCCACAAATAGACGACCCCAACAGTCTTCGATTCCGGCTTCAAAACAACGATTTGAAGATTAAAAGAACTTGCATCTCGTCATTTTTTTGTTGTTTATCGTGTCCCGAAGGATAGAGAAAACATCTCCTCCATTAAAAAATGTTGAGATTCCGCTGCATAATTACAAAGCAAAAGTCAAGCTTTTTCCCCCTCCTGCAGCCGCAAGTGGCAGCCGTGAAGGAACTACGGCAAAAAGATGTGACCTCGGTCGGCTCTAAGCTGCAGCATGACGCCCGCTAATGTCAGCAGAGAGAAGGAGAAGCGTCCTCCGAGAGAGCACACGGGAAGCTAGACGGCATCCCGAATTACGTCACTAGGAGGGGGACCGTGTGTGGCCCTGAAGACTGGGAGTGAGTTGAGGGGTGCCAGAAATGGCAATATTTATCTTTTTTTTACACAACAACTAGGACACGCAGGCAAAATCTGTTTTCTGTTCTTTACTTTAGAAGGGTCAGAGGGCAACTTCCACAAATGTCTGACCGAAGTCCGGAAATCATTGCACCCCCCCCCTTTAAGGGAAGCTGAAGCACTTCTCAAGAAATCCTAGTTAGGAGCGTGCTTTCCATAGATTTTTGTCTCGTGAAATCTGTTTTCACACTTAACTAACATAAAATACCGTGGAAGTGCCCACTTTGTTCGAGCACCCACTTTTAACATTTCCCAAACTTGGGGATTCTGGAAATTATACATTATGCGCCCGATTAGACCGGACAAGCGGCCATGCCAAGATTAACCCAGTTTTCAGTGAAAGTAAGGTGGGCACTCACGCAATATTATACGGTAGTTCAGAAGTAAATGGAAACAGCATTTATTTTGAAAAATATGAGCAGCGATTGCCACAGGGCACACAGAGCATATCTGCCACTTGTTATCTGTCCAAAGCACCGCAACGTCGTCGTCATCATCCTCAAACCAGCTTTGTGGCGAGCGAGGGTCATCAGACTTCGCCGATGACGTCACTTTTGCTAGTATTTCTCTCCATTTTCACAATCTCCTGCACTTGGCGTGCCGGGCGGGACTGCGTCAAAATTTCAATTGGAGATTACGGCACTCCTACTAAGATTGAAAGAAAACTTGGGACACAATTTTTAATGTGCCTACATTAAAATTTTGTTTTATTTATTTTTCAATCCAAGGACTTCTTCAGCTTCCCTTTAATATTTTGAAAATTTTTCAAGATAGCGTTTCTTTTAACGTTTCGCACATACAGTTTCACTGTCGGGAGTGCACTGGGCTTTCGGGATATCAGGGGCATAAAGAGGGAGTGGAGGGGAGGCTTATGGCGCTTCAACCCAACCCCCCCCCCCCTTAACAAATTCCTGGAACACACGCATCAGCAAGTCTGGGTAATCGCAACAACAACAGCGCAAGACAACAACACATACAGGACAGACATCCAAGCGACACACAGCACTGTGTGTGTCCTGTGCATGTAGAAGTCTTGCACTGTCCTTGTTACAATGCTTTACCAACTTGCCCAAGCTGCCATCCCCGCAAGTTTCGTGGGAGATCGGTTTCTTCTGATCAATCTTTGTAATTAGCATTCTTTGGATACAAAATTTGTGAAAATTCAGCCAGTGTCCAGTGCAAGCTTCTGAGCGAGCCAGACAAAGTACAAACATAAGAGGGGTGGGACCATCCAAAGTTCTCCACACAGACTTGATTATAGCCTGATCCCATGACTAGAGCGACAAACACCAATTTTTGTCCGGCGACACCACAAAGCTCCGTGCCACTGATGCTGTCCCACTGTAATGACCAACACCCACGACAAACGATCGACGAGTTCTTGTCTGTCGTTGGACTTGAAGCACAGCAAGCAGCCCCATCGAGGAACATCTCTCGGAGATGAACTTATCCTCCTCGCCCGCTTGCACCTTCGGTTGTTTTTCTTCCCACCCTTCTACCCTTCCTCCCGAGGGCCGCTCCACCACTTGACCTTCAGAGAAGTCCTTGGCAGCCACTGATTGTTCCCGCAGTTCCAGGTCCCTCAATTGCTCGTAGTGGTCGCAGGTGCGGCTTCCTTGCTGGCGGTCGTGTTGCGAAAGGGAATTTGCTGCGACTGGTTTTGCTCACGAAAACTTAGTGCGCGAGGTGGTGCTTCAAGACGCCGAGGTCTATGCCCCTGCATCAGGACGGATACATTCATGTTTAAGGACTAACCAAAGAAAGACCGCTCACCACGAAGTAGGACACGACGTTCCGCGGCAAGCCATTCCGTCAGACGTGATACTAGTCATCACGTTCTGTGATAATCGGGATGCTGTATTGTCCCCCAAAAAATGCCTCCCTCGATCATTTGAATATGAAGTTATAAACATTCTCAAAATCGGGGTGAAATTCTATGGCGCTCACCTAGAATGCCTCGAATGGCCCAAAAAAGGAATGATTCGGTAATTTTAGTTCGGAAGAAGTTTGCTGTCGATTGTCACGATTGTTTGCGGAAAGTCGCCAACGGCAAATGAAGACAAGCGAAAGCTTTAATCAAGAAATAAAGTAAATGTCTCCACTTTCAATAGGGAGTTGTAGTAGATTGTTTTTCTCCTCCGCTACGGTATCCCCGAAGAAAACTCCGCAGCTGCGCATGCGTGCCGGCAGCCTTCTCAGCATAGTTCAAGGTCTTGTGGCGAATTACGGAGCGCTATCCGGGTGCTTAGCGAACTGCAGGAACGGTCTACAACAATTCCCTAATGTGTTTGTTGGCACGTTTTGCAGCCAAAGAGCAAAACATGAAAACCGCGTCGCCAGACTCTCTTTGTCTGTGTACTTTTAAGTGTTTTGTTGACAACTCTAGTCCCACTAGAGAACAAGTTTCCTTGTCCCCGTGTTCTACATCATGTCCGCCAGTTGGGACGGCAGACCCTAGAGGTCGGCAGGGGCCGAGGTTTAGAAGCCCGGCCCTGCCCGGCCCGCTGTCTCGTGTGTCCGGACCCGCCCTCGGCCCGCTATCTATTTCCGACACCCGGCCCAGCCCGATGCTAATTTTCACGGGCCCGCTGAGGCCAGCTCTATTTAGGCGCAGTATGGATAGCCCACTAATTGCGCAGCATGGCAGCTCACTTGTTACTGCTACACATATGTTGATTACGGAACCAACAGTCAATGCTGTAAGCATCTTTTTTTTTTTTTTTTGCTGTTATTAGTCGGACATTATTTTCTGCGGCCAAACCCGCGCGGAAAGTACGGAAAAACAAAAATGACAAGTAGCAGTAAACAAAACCATGTGACAAAGTTGAAAGAGAATGGAAACGTTGCATGGAGTTTGAACAAAAGACAAAGTTCTAAATTTCCCACTCCCAATGTGTAGAACAAAAAAAAAAATACTTCGTCTTTTGCGGTGGTCTGCAAAAAATGCAAAAAAATTGTTTAGGAAAAGCACCCCTCGGGGTGCTTTTTCTGCGCGCACTCGTACGTACAGATGGTTTACGCCGGCAAGGGTGCGCATTGTGTAGGCGCGTGTGTGTGCGTGTTGGTGGTGAGAAACGATGGTACAATGGCGGCACCGCCGGTGACGAAGAAGTGGAACGCCGCCGCTAGTACTCTGGAAGAGTATTTGCTGCACACACACCGAACCGTAAAAAAAATATGCACGCACATACACATGCTTTCAGCATTCGGGTCTCCCCCACTGTGGTCCCTCTCCACCCCCCCCCCCCCCCCCCCCCCAAACACGCTTCCAAAAAACATTTCTGCTAAAAGAAAAAAAAAAAAATTAAATAATGGCCGGCTTGGCTTGCTTTGGCCCGCCTTGTAGAGTTTAATGCAAGGCCCGTACCCTGCCTGGGCCCTTCATGAATGGAACCATGAAGCCCGAGGCCGGCCCGTGGCCCGCGGGCTGGCCCATACCCGTGCAGATCTCTAGCAGACACCCACAAACAGGGTGTCTGTCGGTGTCGTCCGTTGCCCTGCGTTGCTGTCGTTTGTCGCTCTGGTGGGACACGACTATTAGTGAAGTATAGCAAAACCCAGAACTCCTGGATCTAAGTCATCCCGAAAATGTAAGATTCTGTGTACACAAAAATAGCCTTCACCACCAACCTTGGGGAGAGTGCTTGCCCGGTGGTGAATCAGTGGATTCAAAAGCAGGTTAATGCTGCAATTTGGGGCTGTTCCTTAGGGCCGGAACTATAAATAATTATCCTTTGTGTATGTGCTTGCAACCTATAATCGAAATTTGAATGACTGTTTTGTGCTTGTATATGCTTTGCCCCATACATCATCCCGTCAGCTCTCCGGCCACCACCAAAGAGGGGAAGGAGGAACTCCCCTCTCACCGGGACTTTTTTGTGTGTCCCACATCTGCTCAGACGTCGCTACTCTTCCTCTAGAAGATAAACCCTTCACTCAAATTCGTACAAAAGCAGCTTCCCCTCTTTCTTTTCCGTGATGCTGCGAAATCGATGATGTGCAATCATTGCAAAGCATCTATAGCCCTGGCCCAATACTTGCTAGTTAGGAGGTAAAGCAGTTATATAACACTTCCTACATTATCATGGAGCAGTGTTGTCGTGTGTCGCTCGACTGCTCAATGTGGAAGCAGTTTAGGAGAAAATGTGCATGCAGAAGATGCTTCCTGGAAGTATGACGTTGCGCAAAACGACCTGTAACAATTTCTGGCGTCGTGTACGGTCACCAAGTGCGAAAGCATGCGCCTAAACACGCGCACTCGTCGCACGCGCGCGCGCGAGTCAACCAACTTACAAAAAAGCGCGCTTGCTCCATCGACTGCAGTCTGATGCCAAGCTGCAGAAACGAAGCGCTGCACAGGTGAGGCCATCGCCGGCATTTTCCGCTTCAGCGATTCGCCCCACCCGCCCGCCCCACTTGGCATTCCTCGAAAACGCTCGCTCTACGAGGAAAAGTGGTAGGCGAGGCGCCGCAGCCTGTGGCACTGCTCGCACGCGCACGCAAGCCGCTTGCGAGTTCTGCGTCTCGCTGGCCCACCCCCAAAGCCGATCGAACTGCGGATAGGTTTAAATAAATAAATATATATAACAAGAGCCGGCACACTCATGATATTCCCAGCTCGAGGAGCTTCTTGGCATCGCACCGGCCCGTGCTGTGCGTGCCGCCGCGAGGGACAATGGCTGTCACGTCGGGTGTACACCTCTGCGTGTCACACTCACCATCTCCCGGTTTAATGGTCTGCACTTCCACTCCCATGTCGAGCGTGATGTCGCGAGCCTGCCTCGTCAACAAATCGCCAACGGCGGAACGTACTACGGATCGCACACCACCGTATTAGGCCTTTCCAGCGTCAGGGAAGGGAAGCGCCGCTTCCAGTGTTGTCCGACGCTGACTCCTCTGTCGGGTCGCAGAAATCCCTACGTTTGCCTCAATATCGTCAATATTCCCAGGAGGCGCCGGGTAAGTTCCCTACGCTTGTCCCCAGAGTCCCCAGGCTGCTGGTGCGCGCGCGCCGCGCGCACCAGAAACACAAGCATTCATTGCATTCATAAAAAATTTACGTCGCATTTTTTTTTAATTTCACTAAAATTAATTGCAGTTTGCTAGTTTTGATCAGAGGTCACCAAACTTACATGTTGATATAAGATTATTTGAATTAATATAGTTTAAAATTTTTTGGGTAATTTGCGATCGTAATTCATTGTTTTCACGTAAATTATAACTTCTTACTTTTAGCAAAGTACTGCAATAGTCTTACTCCACAATTCAAAGCGACTCATTGTGGCGCTCCTGAAACTGTGCCTGAAACCAGGGGCGTTCAGGTTCCCAGAATGCAACACGCGCGGTGACGGATTTGAAGTAGTCTATTCGTTACATTTGACTAAAGTATTGTCCTTCGTTACTTTTTACTCCACTATTGTAATTCATTACCTTTGACTAAAATCAAATGTGCCATTTCAGCATCAGTAATTGCAAAATTCCAAATGTGCTACCATGTATCGCTGGGACACAGTGGCACGCAGGAACAGGCTGAAGCGGGTGTGTTATGGGGGGGGGGGGGAGGGAGGGAGTGGGGTTCGGTAATTTCTTTCAGGGTGCCGAAGTGGTCAAACCCTCCTGTCTTCCTCCTGAAAACTGCATCAGTGGCAGCATTGTCCTTTGTCATTCGATAACACAGATTGTCTGGACCTTGATTTTTAGGCGGCTAATCAATATCCTTCAAGCAGTTCTTACTCGATGTTTTGCTTTAGAAAAGAGCACTGATGCAAACATTCCCAATAAAATTTAAAGTCTGTGTTTAACTTTTCCCTCTCCCCCGACCTCGTGACCACTGTAGCTGACAGTTTCAATGAGGTAACTAAACAAAAAAAAAAAAAAAAGTGGCTGCGTATTGGTCTCGTTGCTCTTTTGTGAGCTTGGGGGGGCTTTGGCAGCGTCAAGACTATAGCCGAGCGGCCATCACAGCTGAGCAACTACCAAAGCCACAGCACATGCAGAGAGGCCCGGGTGATGACCCACAGTCAAGACTCAATTAAACTCAGGGGTTTATGCAGGATTTCAGCTTTGGACGCTGTAGAAAACGTTTTTTGGGGTGTTACAATTTATTGTTGCTGGGGGAAAGGGGGTGGAGGTGCTAATATTCTGTGGTATTAATACATGCATGCTCTATAATTGAAAACCACTAAAGTCTAAATATCAAGAGTGAGTTGCTGCTGATTGAACGAAAAAAAAAAATTAACACGACAGCCCATTGTGTCAAAACTTAGCGGCATATCGAAACTTTCTGCTCGTAGCACAATCGCACCAATGCCGAAAAATTCCGCACGTACCGGCTAAACGTCATCATCGTAAGCTCGGCGATCGTTTTTCCAAGTTCACATTTAACAAAACTAGGTACCTTTGATGAAAATATGGTGCATGTCATCACATATCCGGGCAGTCAGCGACATTGTAATTGTAATTGTAATTGTAATTTATTTGCACAAGAAGTATGATGTATATGCGACGACGTGCGAGGCTAGGCAGAAAGGTAACAACCCTTACGCTTGTGCGCCTGCTAGCCGGTCGCCGGTAAGCGCATCCGCGCGGTGTCAAGTCCACCACCAGCACGGCGCATGCAGGGCCCCGTCCTTCCCTTGCGTGACGTCACGTGCAAGGCATGTATTGTAGTCACATTTCTTTGTTGGTGTTTAGGCATAACTTTTTTACCACTATGAACTTACCTGTGTTGTCCGTCATGAATTAATATGTAAACGATGAAATAATCTAAAGCATGTGCTCATCATGTTATAATGGTGATCGTACATTTTTTTTGTTTTGTTTAATGTTCGATTTTTTCGCTTTGTTGCTACTTCTGTAGGCAGTGAGGGACTCAACCTCTCGGACAGCTTTTTTTCGTGACCGCCACCAACAACCCTTGATGGAAATAAGCATTATTAATTATTATTATTATTATATCATAATTGCTTTGTTGATAAACGGATAGTACTTGTACGCCTCCTCATCCGTGGCGTCTCTAATGTTGGGAATGTTGGGGCCTTCCACGGAAACTTTCATTCGGGCATCTACATGGGCGGGAGTCGGACGAGACCTTTCTGCGGGTAAGGATCCTGTTCATGGTTGAGAATGTTGTCTCTACACCAGCAGTTTCAACAGGAAGAAGCAAGATCATCTTTGCTGCAGCAGACAGGGAAAGAAACATGGCTATCCTCTCGACCCCGCACGCAAGTGCCAGCAGTTATTTCTACGAAGCCAGGTCGCCGGGATATCTACGGTATAGAACCCCGCACATCTCTGATATTTTTCTGAAATCTGGATTTACTCCTCCTGATAAGAAAATTTCGTGAAATCTTGCCTGCTCTAAAAACTCGTCAAGAAGCCTTTTCTGCTTGTTGTTTACAACTTTTTCTTTGTACGATGAAGCTAGTCTTTGGAGGTCTTTTCCGCTGGCATCGTCATCATCCTCCATTCGCACTTCCTTTCTTTGTGCTTCTTGCACGACTTCTGCCTCCAACTTGAGACTCTCCATACTGATGTCTCCAACTGATGACATATGACTGCTCTGATTAGCGTTCTGGCTTCGGTGAGATTCCCTGTATAAATCTGTAAGTACCTACTCAAACGAGCAAGTGGGTCTAGAAGAGCCGACAACAAAACAATAATAAAGCAGGTTTTTTTTTTTTTTTTTTTTTTTTTTTTTGGAGGTGGAGAAGTTTTTTAGCGTCAGAAAAGTGTTCTCCAGCTTCGGAGTAGATATCCCCCAGTGCAATACAGATGGACGCATAATGCTGGATTACGACCTTCACACTGCCATCATAAGAAAGCCATCGAGTCTCTCCAGAATGCACACGTTTGTGGGATAGCCCATCGATCGCTATTTGAGCGCCTTTCAAAACAGATCGCCTCTTGTGATTCAATGCACTGAGGCGTCTTCTGATTTGAGGCGTTTGGCTGCAGCTGTGAACGAGAGCAAGCTGGAGTAGGCGGCTACGACAGCGTATACAAAAAGCAAGTCTGGTGCGTACTCTTCGTGTCGCGCCTGAACGCCACTCATTCATACACGTCTATTACGTTAATTTATTTTCTAGGGTGCCCTAGTATTCGTAAAACTTATCATAAGCGCAGGTACGAAACTGTATACACTTGATTTCGCAATACTGAAAGGTCCATAGTAACCGCGTAGCGCCACATAAGGCAAAGGATCGTCGGATGGTGGGGATCATATATAGGCGTGACTGCCTTGTATTTTTGTTTCTTGCGCTGAACCACGTTGAAATACATTCCTTGTGATGCAAACCCCGAGAGTACGTGTGTGCGAGGAATTGCGCCTTTTGCCAGGATAGGATTTAAAAATTTACAGGAGCTCCGGAGAAACCACGCAAGAGTTCCACGCACTGAAATATCATTCCTAATATAATTTTTCAAGCTTGTTGAATTTTATCAACATTCTTAACCCGGCCGCCGTTTAGACACAGCCTTCCAGCGGCCGTAAAACTTGCCTAAAAGGGTTACCGAGGAGCAGGAGACTGCTGTTGTGGCTATTCGGCGTGATCTCCGTTGCAGCTGATCCCAGGGTTGGCAAATAATTCATTTCGAATCAGTATACAATTTGGGTGGGAGATATATGTGGATATCATGAAGAGTTTGCAGTTGTTTTTGCAAACTAGGGAGGGCAATATTTTTGTATTTCGTTTATTTTCTTTTTCAAGTGACGGTACAGGGAAGGCAGCTCGTTCTTTGTTGCAGTAGCAGTGGTATTTATTCGCGCTCGTAAGCGCACGAGTCCCAGAAAGGCGTGTAGCCCGCACCAAGTGCCTGTGAGGTTCGACTTGATAGGACAAAGAGCAAGCAGCTGGCAAACCAAACAATTATTCGGGCTTGCATTAACCAAATATTCATTATAATGCACCAGTGCTGAAATGTTTTCTTAAAACTGAGCCCGCAAAGCAGGCTCAGTTTTTCCGGACTATAGTCCCCACTCGGTGTATAGTCCGCAGGGGGAAATTTGGGGTCAAAAATAAAAGATTTTGCTTAGATAGCCCGCACCAGGTGCACAGCCCGCACCCGGTGCATAGTCCGCACCTGGTGCTTAGTCCACACAAAAATCTTCTCATAGACGGCACACGTTTACAAATGTCTGCTTTTTAGCTCACAATAAAGCCTATAATGTGCATAGATCATCATTAACATACACTTTCGTGCACAAAATTCGTCACGTCTCGTGATAATAAACGATCTTGAAAAAACATAATTAGTCCGCACAGCCAGAAATTTCAACTTTTAAACATGTATAGTCCGCGGACTCTAGCCCGGAAAATACGGTATTTAACAGACCTGCAAGCAGTGCATTGGGTCGCTACGTGAAGCTGCTGCACCGAAGATGCCAATGGAAACCGTAACTTAGTGGTTAACCGGTGCCGAGAGAGTATTGCCACGCGCCTCACCGTTAGGAACGCTTCGAGCTTTTGAAAAGGTTCGCAAGCATACATTCTCTCGCTAGCCTCGATTTGAGATGGTTGCTCTTTTCTCACGATATTTCGTGGGTCCTTCGAAGTGTATACATAAATTGGCTTCTCTACTTGTCCCGCTACGATTTACTACTGAGATTCCCGAAGGTGAGTGACTCATTATTAGAAATAATGAAGACATTACCTACTCCCCTAAAGTAAAAAGGAAAAAACAAATTTTTTTTTCCTTTGATGGAAAAAACAAATTGTAAGGGAGAAAAGGGGGAGGGGGGCTGTTAGGGTGGATGTCAGGGGCGTACGTATTGGGTTGGTGGTGTCAGTCTTTTCGTGATGGGTGTTGGGTGTGTATGTATAAATCCCTGATTCCACTCCAATTCTATGAATACAAAATACCCACAGTGCAAAGTGGAGACATGGTGACAGGGGAAAAAGCTGCAATACTGCTGTTTGTCAGCTTGGCGTGCAGAAAAGGTAACAAAATATTTAAAGAGGAATTAACGAGGTAATCATATACTAAAATTATTACGCCCGCCTCAGACGGGACA